TAAAATAAATAAATAATAAAAGGGTTAAAGTAAAAAAAATATTTATTTATATTAAAATATTTAAAAAATTAATTTGAGACAAAAATCAGAGTTGTTTTTGGACTAAAGAGTACTAATAATAGGCAAGGAACTTATCAAATAATCTGGATCTCAAAATTTATGAGGGTGATAAAATGACAAAATTTCTACCATTTTGTCGCAGGGGCCATGGAGCATAGCACCTTTGCTCTAAATGCCAACTGAGAAAGTTATCGATCAAGATATTATTGATGCATATGGTACAAATATTGTTTACAGGTTTAAACTAATACGTTTTCTTTTCCTTTCTCCATGCTTCAGAGAGATTGCATGTGAACATATTCTCAAAACTGGTGAGACGAAAAGATTTTTTTAACATTTTGATCCTCTTCAGTTATTTTAAAAAAAAAAAATTTTCTTTTGCAAAATGGCGTTGAATTTCCTAAATTTAGGTTCATTGGATGTTTGAAATTGTATTTCACATTTGAGTTTTTGGTTTTATAGTACAAATTGTTATAATAGGAGCCACCATATAGAGGACAGCCCAATGCATATTTAATTTTAAATTTGTTATTCATTTAATAATTTAAATTACATAGTCAAGTTTAAACTGTATAATATATATTTCTATTTAAATTTAAAGTGGAAAAGGTGACATTGAATACACTTTCTAAATTCATGGCTGAAAACCATAACGTTGAGACTACGTTTTAATATCGCGAATGTGAATTTCTTTTTCCCAAAATTTCTAGTTCTAAGTATATGCGTACAAATGACATTAGATCAAGAAGAGAGTACAGTTTCACAGCAAACCCTAGCCATTAATAAATTAATTAATTAAAATCTGGCCCTTTGGACACTTTATTTGCAAAAAAAAAAAAGAAAAAAAAGAAAGAAAGAAGTTAAAACTTTACACACACACACCATACTGAATAATAATGGCAACGGCGGAGGCTCAGCCCACTCTGCGTCAGGAATCAGGACGAATGTGAGTGGGATAATTAGGCATGTTTACATGCACGCACGTGATTTGGGGGGCAAGAACAAAAATTTCTGTCATAACAAAGCCTTTTGCCACCGGCCTTTCACAGTTACGATGCTCCCCCACTTCCCCAAACCCTCTATGAAAACCGAAACCATGTGCACACATCTTGCACATTCAGCTGTTTGAGTTTTAGGGTAGTCCAAACAGGCCCTAAGTTAAAAGACAATGGCAAGGAAGTTGTTCGCAATCTTCTTCATGCTCCTCATTGTTTTGGCTTCTCGTGAGTATATATATATACTTCAATTACTTAGATATTCTATCTATCTCTTTTTTGGTACTTTTGATTATGGATCATACAACATAATTGTTAGTGTTAGAAATTTTAAGATCGACATACGTAGAATTTAGGATATCAATATCTAATAAAATAAATAAATTATGTACCTAAATCTCTATAATCAATATATTATTTAAGAATCTTTAAAGGATTTTCAATAATTATCATAATTTGGGATCTCATAACAAAACCTATGAAACAAATATAGTTAGCATGGAATTTAGATCTCCCTTTCTCTATTCAACTTCTGTATAATGACAATCAATGAATTGTATCACTTCGTAACTCAACTATTAATAGAGGTAAAGTTTTCTGAATGGAAGAAGAGACCTAATCCATTATAATAATTTTTTGGATATCCTATCAAGTAGTCCACCTTGAATTTCAAACCTTACACCGATTTATATCACATTATATAAAACTAAGATAAAACTTAAATCCACTTGGATCACATTACTTTATTGAGTTTTACTAGTTTTCTATTTAATCCAATTTTAAAAAGCTAAGTATAATTAGTGGAAGCTCACATAAAAATTTCCAACAATCAGAACATGAATTTTCTTTCTTTGTGATAAGAAGTGTTTGTTTTCCTTTCCTTGATTTGGTTTGCTGCTCATCTTTATGTGTTTTTGGAAATGTAGATGAGATGGTGCAGCCAACTGAAGCCAGGCTGTGTGAGTCAAAGAGCCACCATTTCCATCAAGCCTGTTTTAGCAGCCACAACTGTGCTATGGTTTTCAGGAATGAAGGATTCTCCGGTGGCAGATGCCGTGGCTTCCGACGCCGCTGCTTCTGCACCAAGCTTTGTTAGTTGACAGTTAAAAACAAGACGGTCTACATGCGTACGTTTGGTTTTAATGGAATGATGCTTGTTAGAATAAAACGTGCGAGAGGAGTTGCTCTTAGCTCGGTCGGCTTGATAAATGTTCTCCTTTGAGTTTAGGAATGATCTTTGGCTTTGGTTGATTTGTACCCATGGAGTGCTTCTTGACTTTTTAATCTTTGTTTTGTTGTTTGGTTAAGTGAATGTTATGTTCCCTTTTCCGTGTTAATTTTTTTTTTCTTTTGAAAAGCGAGTATTAAGATGTTCTATTATTTTTTTTTTCACCGTTCAATTAATATTTAAAAATTTATTCATTTTATGTTAATTGAATTAGTTAAATATATTACGAATCAATTATAGTTAAGATTCAAATTTTGAATTAATCAAGATGAAAGTTAAGCAATTTGTAATATATATATATATAAGATAGTTTATGAAAATATTTAAATATTTTTAATAAATAAACATATTTGATAAATACTTTTAGATAAAAAAAAATTATTAGAAGTATTTAAATAATTTTATAAATAATTTTGTACTTTTTTTGCCGATCACCTAAACAATACCTTTCTATTTGGTTAATTGAAACCATGAAACTGAACCAAGATTTTTTAAGGGAACAAAAATCAAAAGCAAACTTATAATTAATGTTTATAAAATTACAAAATTCAATTTAAACTGAACCCAACAGTAAAATTCAGTTAACCAAACAGAACCGACACCCCCACCCTTTTTTTTTTTTTTTTTTTTTTTTTTTGAACAGTTCAATTTGAGAGAAGGAAAAATTAGATTCATAAAGTTTGAAATCACAACTCATAAGAAATGACCGTCACTTAATCAATGTGGTGACGACGGACACCCCACCCTAGAACTTTGTTTCATTTGAAAAGAAGGCATCCAAAGCGCGCATGCACCAAGTGGTTGGTATGAAACCACTACGCTCTGCTTTCATGAAAAATAGACAACACTTGATTTCGTGTCAAGCTCTCTTGCTTTCACTTTCATACTCAAAATTCTATACATAAAAATTTACGATTTCTGTCTGAAACAAAAGAAAATTCAATCAATTAAATCAAGAAATGGATAAGAAGTTCTTTGGAGGACTGTTGTTACTTCTGCTTATTGCATTAGCCTCTCGTAAATCTCTAACTCTCTTGCAATTTACCTTTTTTCAATTTCCCTTTTTCAACGAACAAGGGAAATTGGTGCAGGGATCTCCAAAACAAGTAACATGCTTGCTTCCTAAAGCACTCTGCGCCATAAAGTTTAAGGGAAAAAAAAAAAAATTAAAGTGGTAAGCTAACAGCATATATATATGTGTGTACACTCAAAAACCTGAAACTGAATTGACAAGAGAATCATCCTCAAATCAGAGAATCAAATCAGAGAAAGAGAAGAAAGCCCCATCACTTTCTTCTTTTTGATCCCAGAAAAAGTTGAGAGTTGCTCATTTTCTATGCTTTCCACCCCTTCTTTCTTTGGGAATGATCAGTCATAACACAGCAAACCAAGTTGTGATCCAAACATATTTCCATCTTTTAGCATGGCAACCCCTAAAAGTTATATGAAAAGGATTCCTTGAAATTATTAAATAGCACAAAATCAATTAAAATCAGCATATCAGATTTTGTATATATCAATTTGCAGTTCAGAAAGAGGTAATCAGCGTTTATTTTCCAATGCTTATAATTAAGAGCTGTTGAGGTCCATAGATATCAAACTAAACTAGTTGATGGGATTGGTAGAGTAGTTTCTTTTTTTTTTTTTTTTTTTTTTTTTTTAACTCACATACTTTTTTATAATTATTTGTCCAATGTGAAATTTTTTTTACTTACTATGCCTTTCTTATGCGGAGACTCTAACTTAATACCAATTCGCAATAAATAAAATAGTTATTTTTATATTTAACACATATGCTTTCTTTGTTATTTGCTCGATACGAAATTTTCTCATTTAACATACCCTTCTCATGTGTAAATCCATTTTGTTATGTGGATCTCAAGCTAACAAATTGGCTTGATGTGCCCTTCACACATGCAGGTTCAATTTGTCATGTAGATCTCAAGCTAATAAATGGATTTAATGCGCTCTTCCCTCATGTGGGCTCAAACTATCATAGTATTCATGGCTTTTTAAAAACAAAGTCTAGACTTTTTTTACGTCATGTGAAAATTTATCATGGGTTGTAATACAAAATTTGTATTTAATCTTACAAAACTAATTCATCATAAGTGAAGTAACATTTTTTATATTTAACTCATATATTATTCATTTGTTATATTTTTCTAATGTGAAATTTTTTTACTTAATAAGGTAGTTTAAGTCAAATAAAGTTGTTAATGGTCCAAGTCAATGTAACATTAAGGCTTTGTTTGGTCATTTTTTGCACATACTTTTTTTTGCTTATCATCTAGTTAAAAATAGCAATACTATTATTATAATATCATGTCATAATTGTAAAGTAGGATTGTAAATTTACAATTTTGATATAATATTAAATAAATATAATATGTTATTAAATAAGTATATGTATTCAATATTACAAATAGATTTTTAAGTAAAAAGAATCAATTATATAATAAAATATTATATTATAAACTTAAAAAGTTACATGAAATTGTAAGTATATCATATTTTATTTAAAAATATAAATTTATTACTCTTAATTATTTTAATTTATTTTGTATACACTTTTATTAATTTAAATTAATATTGTTTTATATATTTTTTAAATAAAAAATTAAAAACCTATAACTACAGTGTAATATAGCACAATACAACCCAGACAAATTAACCAAGGAAAAGTGTCATCACCATCTTAGTAATAAGCTGCAACAAACCTTAGTTAAACTCTTCTATTTGCTCTGCCTATGCTAAAAGTCACGGTTGGTATATCCACCACTCAAAATAACAATATTAATTTCTCCTAGTTCAATTTCTATTATATATGCTGAGGAAACATGTCATCATTTTTGTTGGATTCATAACATGCGATGAGCACTAGATAGTAGACTCTCTAAATATTGACTTGTTTAAAGAGAAATGCAAATTCCAAAGCACCACCTGGTGGCCATGGGAACTACCAAGTCCATTTCCATGACAAATGGCACCCACGATTTCGTGTCAAGCAGGCTTGCTGTCACATTTATCCCAAATTTTTCTTCGGATTTTTTTATTCTGTGCATTTAAAGAATAAATTAAAAATATAATAAATATATTTTTATAATTAATTTACATAAATATTAATAAAAATAATTTAAATTTAATTAATT